GATAGTTACTCACATTCTGAGCTGGGGTGTCTTCATTTCAGTCCTGTATAAGGACTAAGCACACAGGGAGAGAGCTCCTGGTGTTACCAGTGGCCTGAAAGACAGCTTTATCTGAAAATCCTGCCAAGTCCTCGAAGCACATCATGTCCAAAATCAAACTCCGCTTGCCTGCCGGTCCCCACTGTGGTTGTTGCTCTGGAGTAGACGCCCTTTCTCCTGGCTTCCCTGCTTTGAGTCATGCTTGTGGTACAGCTTCAGCAACATCCACCTCCAGCATTTCCCTCACACCTCCCTCCTTCCCTGAAGTCCCACTGACTCAGGCCTCTGAGCCCCCCCACCCTGTTCCTTTCCTTCTAGTCTTTCCCACCGTGGCTGCCAGCCACTCGGGCAGGGTTACAGCCCCCTTGCTCTGCAACCTGCAGTGATTCTCAGCCTACAAACCAATGAGCTCCTTGACTTGACATCAAAGGCTTCACAGGCGCAAAGCTTCCTTCCCCACTTGCTATCCCGCAGCTCCGGGTCATAAGGATGGGAATGCTCACTTGTCTGTGGGGAGCCTCCCCCTTCCTATGTCTCTTTGGTGACGTGTACCCCTCCCGACTCGCGGGCACAAGTTGGATCAACCATTCAAGTCCGGGTTCAAATGCCCTTTCTTCCATGAAGCCTTCCTTCTGAGTCTCCTGGTTAGGGAGACCCCCCTCAACCTCTGGAATGACACCCTTCTTTTCCCTCCTGTTCTTCCTGGGGCTGTAGTTCACATGTGCCTCTCACTGGGCAGCTCGTTTACCTGTGGCTCTCCCACTGTGCTGACTGACACAGAAACAGCGTATTGTCTTTGAAAGTGCAGCCCAGCTCCCGTCCTGGCTCCCAGAGAGAAAGGCTCCCAGCCAGCCCCCGGCCTGCACGGAGGTGGCCAGCCAGAGGCCGGTGGCCTAGAGGGACGCCCACACAGGACACAGAGCTGGCTCTGCTCCTCCACAGTTTCACCCAGATGAGTCCTGTGGGCAGTGTCTTGAGTTCCATGGAGGGGCAGCTGCCTGAAGATAATGAATTAATTAATCTTTGCACCAGCCAGCACCTGAGCATCTCTGTCTCCCTTGTGCTTGACTGTCTGCTGTGGGTAATTTGTCACCACTATTTGCCTACCTGCAACACCACACCTCTATTTTTTCTGTTTCACCAAATCCCAAGTCAATTCTGAATGAAAACCTGATGACACACATGTGACTGGGCTCCAGATGTCAGAAAATCTGGTTGGGGTAGAAGAAAGCGGTAAAGAAAGGTTCTAAATCAGTTGTGCTGATGGTGTCGTCACAGCAGGCGGGCTGGCTCATTAATGAGGAAGCTCCCGGGAAGGAAGCAGGGGCCGCGGGGGGACTGCGCCCTGCAGAAGCCCTCTCAGGCCGCACCTGCACGCCCCGAGTCTCGTTGCTGATACGAGTTGATCATCTCCCTCCTTACCAGATTCTGTAGAATTTGTTCATGCTGTGCTCTCTCCGATGAACCCCAACTCTGCGAGATTCCTACCTTTTCCAAAGTGGCTAGGAAGAGCTGGTTGTAAAATACAGCTGTCGGGTCCTCCACGTGCTGACATCGTGACCCCACGGCCCTGCTATGACAGGACCTTTGTAAGCTGACACTTCCCTGCAGGACCATGGCTGACAACTTATGTTTTTGGTTATGTTTCATGTTGGTCTTACTATATTACTGGAAATCCAGCTTGGGTGGAGCAATAGAGAAACAACAGAAGTGAACAATCTGACACGAGAAGTTTGGGTTTAATTAATTAGTATTAAGAAAGCAGCTTAAACCCTTGAATGAAGCCAGTCTATGCATGCAAGAGATCATTAACACTTCTGTGACTTTTCCCCCACATCATTATAGAGTTAATTAAATAATGCAAATGTGGCTGAATTTGGTGAACCACATGCGCATTTGCATTCATGTGCATGGTCATTACCTTCCTCTGGAAATAAGAGCTGTCCAACCTATTCACCCAAGAGCAAGTGTACCCACAAAAGAGAAGAAGCAGGAAGCAACCCTACAGAAGTGCTGAGAACTTAACAGTGAGTCAGAGACATCTTGATGAAAAAGTAAGTGTATGAAATTTATCCTGGACAAATAATAGCCTGAGTGTCTCTTTGTCCGTATTATTATAGATCAATTTGCAACCATCAATAATGTAATTACTTTTGATCATTCTAGTGAATTTTTAATCACATGTGCTAACAGTGATATGGATAGCACAAAACGCACTATCCAAAAATTAATACTGTTTCATCTTAAATTGCATCATATTTTTATAGCACATTTCCTTTGCAATTATGATTGACTACTGTCTAGCTTAATTAAGCTAATGTTAAAGTTAATTGTCACTCCCAGAACTTGTATCAATTAATGGCTGAGACAAATGACACAGAGGCTTTTTTTCCCAAAGATTGTTCAAAGAGTTCTAAGATACAAGACTTTAATGGATGTTTAAAGCATAAGCATTTGAAGTAGAAGAAAAGGGAGTGAGTAGTTGTGGACTGAAGTTTTGCCATCAAAAATCCACACAGTGGAACAGCATCATAAAAGAAAGTCATAAAATTGACCTCATGCCTTCAAAATAGAAACAGAGAGAGAGAGTCAGGCACATTCCTAAAGGGCCTCAGCTGCCAGGAGGAGCCCCACCGCGAAGCCCATAAAATTCATTTGTGTGAAACGCAGAACCTTGTTCCTGGGAAGGTAATTAGAAGCAGTGCTGTCAGTCCATGGGAGCTCACAGACACTGAGTGTACGTACATAAATATAAAGATGGAGAGGCTGACGCTGTCCCCCACGTGTGCCCAGGACCACACGCTAGTCTGAGCGTCCCGACGGCCCTGGGCCTTGGATTCCCAGCCAGCACCTTTCCCCAAATCAGAGGAGAAGCTCGCTGCTTTGAGGATGAGACTGGGCGGGCCAGGAGAGCCTGGGCGACCACAGAGCAGCCAGAGCCGGGCTGACGCAGTCGGGGCTGGTGCTTCAGGTCCTGGCTGTGATCCCAGGCGTGTAAATGGATGAGGTGATCAGGCGGGTTCCCAGGTAGCAGAGCTGAGACGAGGGTCCAGCGGCATGTGCTTTACTGAGGATGTGCTCGTAAAAGGTAGAACCTGTCAGGGGTGAGCACATCGGGGCAGGAGAGAAAGGGCGGGCCTCAGCAGCCTGGTCCGTAGGTCGGTGGGTGCTTGGCTCTCTGGCAGGGGCACACAGAACCGATGGCCACCTTGGTACCACTGCGCCTCCACCACCAATTTGTCCCTCCAGGGAAGTGAGAGGCAGTGATCCATTAGCACCAATACTCCCAGCAGCCAAGGAATGGCACACCCAGCCTGTATAGGGCTCGGGCAGCACCATGTCCCTGCCTGCAGGTCCATAGGGCAGACACTTGAGTCACCCACCATGAAGCTGGTCTGTGCAGACAGATCATGGAAAATTAGGAACCTGCAAAGTCTCAGGTGGGAAAATTGGGCTTAAGTGATTGAGGGTTTTGGATTTATTTTGTGTTAATATTTGGATAATTTTGTATGTTAATATTCCTTGGGGTTTTCTATTTTTATTTTTAATAAGCCGAAGAATTATTCAAAATGACTTCGTTGATTTTGCACGGGCTCAGAGTTTCAGATGATGCCAGTGATTCACGTAAAGCTTTACGATGTGATTGGTGTGAAGCTCGGTGCTGGGCCACGTAGCTTTGACTCAGCCTTCCAGGGGCAAGTCCTGTGGCA